AGTCACTAGAGATTGTTTTGGAAGGTTTACCATGTATTTGCAGTCATTCAGTCAGTGAACCAAAATAAAAACTTCTCTCAGTGCTTTGTTTTGGGCTCTCTTTCTGTTAAAATGTCAACTAGCTGACTTCTATTTGTGGAAAGTTGAGATTCTGTGTTTTATTTCTAAATAATATATGAAACTTTTCTCACATGCTATTTGATGCTTTTTTGCTTTGAGACTGAAAGCAGCTGTTCCGTTCTTGATACCTTCTCTGCTTTTAGATACAAAACAAATGAAAAAAGATGTGATGCTGTAGGACAGGGGAAACTGGAAAGATTCTGGTGAGCAGGGAGGAGCAGAGACCACAGCCGTAGCTTAAAGGACCTCTAAGCTTCCCTCACTTGACATTAAACTGCATTTGATAATATTTTGAAGCATTGCACAGCAACCTGCATATCATCTGTACTCCGCCAAATGCATGCTTCTTTTCCAGGAGGCCTCCTTTTCAAAATATACTGCTTGAAAGCTAAAGTTTAGAACGTTAGTGGTTTGATGATGTGGTGGATGATGGCTCCATCATTGCCTGCAGAGTGATTTATTTTTGGGAAATGTGATAGTTTGGAAGAATCTGAGCCAGACTATTTTTGCATTATTTTTACTGATCTTAGCATAAAAATTATTCTGTGGGATTTCTGATGTCATTCAGAAACAGGATTTGTGAAGGTTTATGTAATAGGTTATCTACAGAGATGTTTGAGCTCATGTTTATAAAACTTGACAGTTGTCAGTATGTGAGAATATCGAGGCTGATGGGGAGGGTTGTCATCCTTGGAGAAAGGGATGGTCCTTGAAGTTGGACTGAAACCTAAGACAATGAAGTTGTGAAGTTAGGAATGACAGTGGGGCCATGTATGAAGGTGTTTTTTGTTCTGGCTGACTGGTAATTCAATTAATAGTTTATTTGTAACTAATACTTTAGAGTGAAGTATGATCCCTGTCACAGCTCTCTGTAGAGTGAACAGGTCCAGATGATCAGTAACTTGAAGGTGAATCTGGAAAACCCCATGGGACTGCAGGCAGAGTTGTTCTATTTTGACTTGAAGTGAAGCATATAGCAGTTCTGGAATTGATAAGCAAAGATAAGGGATCTGTATTTGTCTTGTATTATAACATTCAAAGGGATTTTTTTCTGTACCCTGAAGTGTTTCAGCAGGCTAGCAAGCAGTGTCAGTTTTGAATCAGAAATACAGACAAAATGGTTACCAGTATTTGCATATTGTGACACAAGAGATCAATAATTGCGATGTGTGTGCAAGGACCTTAGTAAAATTACTTTGTAGAAAGTCAGTATGACTTTGCAATCATCATTATGTTTTGGAATCCTCATAATTCACATTGTGTTTCCATGGGATTTTATTTTATTTTTATTTTTTTAAATTTTTTTTTTTTGGTAAGGGGAGAGAAAAGGCACAGGAGTACCTGCTGGACTTACTTATTTTATGAATAATGTAATATCTGCAAACTCATAGAATTATGTGTCAGAAATACCAAAACTCTAACAAAAACCTACTCTGTATGCATCTAAATTTTCTCCCCTTTGTGCTGAAGGAGCATAGTGATTCCTTTGTTTGTATAAGTATAGGCATACCTGTAAAGTGTGAATTTTCAATTATCCAGAGAAGAACTACGGACTGGTTCAGTGTTTTAGCAAAATCAGCTTCAGCAAGTTGTTAGTGCTCTTTTGGTGACATACTGCTTCTCTGCTTCTCACTGGTTAAGGCACAAGGAGAAATCCTGTTACTCATCATACAGCTACACTCAATCCATGCAATTATACCGTTGTTTTGCTTAGAGAAGTGTTACTAGATGTAGCAATTCAGTTGAAAAATATGAAAGGAAAAGTTTTTAATAACAAACTGTAATAGGAGTATATGGCTTATTGTGGTGTTCAAGGGGAAGAAGGAAGCTGAAAGGAGTGAACAAAGGGGATCTCAGGTGGAAATAGATTCCATGAGACAACAAGGAATTGGATGCCAGAAGAGCTTGTTCACATGCATCATTTACCCATCTTTTATAAAATGTCATTGAGATGCATTGCACTTTATCTGATCCATGGCAGTCATCCCAGTCAAGCAGGTGTGCTATTTATCATGGTGCCGATTAGAAAAGACCATTCTGTTCAAGTTAATTGGAAATTTGAACGTGTGGAACGTTGAATAACGCTTTTTAAAAGATGAACCATGGTATTTGCATTTGAAGTTCATAAACTGAAAAAAATGTAACTTTTTTAGAGTCAAAAATACTTGCTTGTATTGCTTGTATGTCAGACATTCCTTTTATGCTCATTTCCATGTCATTCCAAGCCTTCTGCAATATTTAATGTCTGTGTATTCTGTTCACACTTTGCATAGTTTAATTCTCAAGAAAATTTTTATGGAAATAATGTCAGAGAAAACGTACATTCCTTCCTTCATTCCCTCCCCTCAGTTGCTAATCCTTTCTAGTCAAAATTCCTTTCTAGAGAAAGTGTTATCATTCAAATACATGTAATTGTCCTAATGAGAATGAAAGCAGAATAACTGGGCCTACAAAGAAGCGTAGTTATCTGTTGAGGCTTGCTCTGGATTTAAAATCCTTTTGTCTTTGATATCTAATTGACACTTGTGAGGAACTGTCTTAGTGAAAACACTGTGGACCTCCAAACTGAGAACATGTTTGACTTTGAAAATGGGTGGCAGCTTAATGGGTCAGATTCCTTTACATTTTATAATTCTGGCTAAGTAGTGAATGAAAAGTATCAGAATGTATTTCTGAAAAGGGAAAATTTTAATACATATTTTCCTCTCAATTTTTCAAGTTGTAATAATACTTTAATGTAGTTTCCTAAAACTGCATGTTCACCAGAGTGGAGAGAGTTGCAAGCCAAACAGCACAGTAATTATTTCCTGCTTTTCCACATACTCCAACTTAAGAGATTGTTTCTATATTCTTAAGTTTTATTTTGGGAATACATAATTTAGTTCTGTAAGCTCCAACACCAAAGTCACTGTCTCCTCAAATTGTAATTCCCCTGAGAACTTCAAAAACAGATGCAGAAACAGAGGTGATTGATTTCTCTTTGCCACTTTGGTCAACGCTTTTTGATAAGTTAGTCAGAAATTTTATAAAAAGTAGTCTCAACTAATTTGTAGTTTCTGTTTTGTTTTTGTTTGGTTGTTTTTTGTTTGGGTTTTTTTGTTTCAAAAATATTGTTATTCCTTAATACTAACATTATCCAATGAGAGGTTTTTTGGTACCTGAATTTAATGAAATCAGTCTTGAGCATTTTTGTAAGTTTGGAGCATACTCTTATTGCAGATGACTGGCCAGTCAGTTTTGGAACTGCTAAGTAAGTAACTTGCAAGTGACCAACAGAAGATCTGGTGTGTGTAGAAATAAAAAAACCTCACAATATTAAAAAATTTTTTGACATTTAAATGTTTTTTACAATGCACTCATTGCTCTAATAAAAACAAAGACTAACAACAGATTAATGAAAGAATTTGGGATTATTTTATTGTTATTTTGTGTAGTCATACCTAGCAGATGCCTTACAATTGTGAATTTCAGCTGTAAATTTCAAGATAGCAACATGTTGTAACAGCAAGGTGCAGCTTCAAGTTTCAATTATGGGCTTTTTCTTCTGAAAAAATGTGTTTCATTGTATAGTTCCTTATTTGGAATTAAATATTCTTGAAGTATTTTTCCACTTGAGAGCACTCTCAGAGTGTGGTTTTCCCTGTTAAATTCTAAAACTTGAATAGTGAAAGCTTGCTTTGTTGTTGGAGCTATAGGCACAAATATAGGCTAATGAATGGGTAAGGGAAAAAGCTAAGTTTTTATAGCAAAATGATCAGTCATTCTGTGCAAACATTTATAGGTTCAAGTGAAATATGTTGAATCATTACTGTTTGAAGTATTTGGCCATGAAACATAAAATTGCATTGCTTTTAGTTGTACAGCCTTAGAAGGATACAAATGTTAGTTCTCAGCTCCTTTCATACTTTATTGACTTCATTTAAATAATTTAGTTATAATTTGGTCAGCAGATCATTAAGTTGAGCTCTAGAAAGGAAATTGTGCAAAATTAGCAGACCAGGACAAAATGATTTTAAAACTGACTGTGATTTACTGTGTCTGTATTTGCTATGTTTTATCACCATGTGGTACTTTTGTGCCAAAGTTTTTTCAAATGCTACTAAAAGTATCTACAACTTCAGGACAGATTCTCCATCTCAACAGTAAAAAATAAATTGAAATTAAAAAAGAGATATTTTGGTAATTTTCCTAATTTTTGCTATTACTTGTCAGTTGTAATTCTCCTTGGTTATTTGCTTTTCCTTAGGCAAGTAATGATTTAATATGGAAGTATATCATCAATTATCATAACTGTTGACTGGTTTCAGTGATTTGTTTAATTAGATGTTTTTTCTCTGATAAATTCATCTTAATGGATATATTTACCTCCATATGGAATTCACAGTCTTTGAAAGCATAAAATAGAATATTTAAGATACAAATTAATTCAAAGAGTTGTTTTACAGTCATGTAGCTGTGTTACTGGTTTATGCCCTAGTTAGGAAGTCTGTAAAATGTGAATTTCAAATGATGCCCTGAAGTATTTTCAGGAAATAAGTTCAATCTAAAGTAAGTGCTACTTGTGTATTAAAATGGCAAATGGATTTTTTAATTTGCCCACAAATGACTCTAGTGTCCTGTATTAGAATTGATATTTCTTCATTTTCTATTACATAGAATCATCTTGATTTCTAAGTATTTCTTTTTGGACAAAAGATTTTCTAGCCTGGAGTATTCTTTGTAGAAACTGCTACTTTGTTGATTTTGACATTTCCCAAGCTCTAACATTAAATAAGCTGTTTACTGGCAAATGATTGCAGTAGTAGCATATAATCCACTGCTACTCCCTTTGATGTGCATTTCTCTATGGAAAAAGGATTTCTTTCTCTTTTGTTCTACAGCTCTTGGAAGGAAACTTTGCCAGAGAAGTTAGCCATGAAGTGGATGGACTGATATTTCAGCCTACGGGAGTAAGTAGCATAAAGAATGGATTTTTCTCCCTTTAGTCCCAGATGAAATTCTCACTCTCCCTTCCCACTCATCCATCCACTAGCTAATCTTTGCTCAGGATTACTTTGCAGCATTGTTTCTGACTAGTTGCTATCTATTTGTAGTATGTGTGATTTCTTACTAATCAATGGTGGTAGTTTTCAGGAATCATCTCATGTTTTTTAGAGTATGTACTATGGATGTATTCTGCTAAATAATGAAGAATTTTCTATGACTGTATGAATTCCATGAATCTTTCAACCATTTATTTGAGCTCTCATATTATTTTGCTTTTTCAAGGATGTTCACATATTAAAATTTCATTAAAATTTGTGACTCATATTGTTTTAGTGTAATTGAAGCATGGTAAATTCTTGAGCCATGTCTGCCAGTGTAAAGGTAAATGAGTGGCCTGGGGAGAAGTTACCAAAAGTACTGCAGAGAACCAGAAAAAAATAATGCAAGTGGTTCTCCAGCTAGCATGGCATCATCCATCCTATTACTTCTCCTGTTGAATCAGATACAGTGGATACACTTCAGTATGTATTGTATATTGGCATAGATTGTTGCTGTAGCATCATCCATCTTTACTTTTTTCTTAGCTTGTAAATCACAGGATGGTTTGAGTTGGAAGGGACTCAAACTCTCATGTAGAGATCATCTAATTCTAGTCCCCTGCCAGAGGGGGTAAGGACACCTTTTACCCCGTTCAGCCTGGCCTTGAACACTTCCAGGGATGAGAACCCACAGCTTCTCTTGACAGCCTGTTTCAGTGCCTCACCACCCTCATAATAAAGAATTTCTTCCTAATACCTGATCTAAACCTATTCTTCAATTTAAAACCATGCTCTCTCATCCTGTCAGTACATGCCCTTGTCCAAAGTCTCTCTCCGTATGTTTTTGTAGGCCCATCTTGGATATTGTGAGGCTGCTAAAAGGTCTCCCTGGAGCCTTCTCCTTCTCCAGGTTAAACATCCCAGCTCCATCAGCCTGATTTTATGGGAGAGATGCTCCAGCCCTGTGATCACCTCAGTGGCTCTTCTCTGGGCTTGTTCTAATAGCTCTGTGTCTTTCTTATGCTGGAAGTCACAGATCTGGACACAGCATGTCAGGTGGGGGTCTCATGATAACAGAGGGGCAGAATCACCTCCCTGGCCCTCTGTCCTCACTTCTTGTGATGTAGTCCAGGGTATATTGGCTTTCTGAGCTAAAAGTGCACCCTGACAGCTTATGTTGAGCTTTTTGTACACAAACACCTCGAAATCTTTCTCCCCAGGGAGAAAGTCTTGATCCATTCTCCACCCAGTCTGTGTTTGTGCTTGGGATTGCCCTGACCAGGTGCAGGACCTTGCACTTGTGCTTGTTGAACTTGGCTGTTTGCACCAGCCCATCTCAAGCCTGTTGGGATCCTTCTGGATGGCATCTCTTCCCTCCAGTGTGTTGACTGAATTAAGAAAGGAATTATTTTCAATTACTTTAAATTTGACAGATATTTCTACCCTTCCAGTTACTTGTGGAAAGTACATGTGTATACTTCTCCAGTTGAAACAGATTTTTCCTGGTCTACTTCCTGTACTGCAGATCTCAGCAAGAGACCATCACACTCCCATCTGAAAATAAGATAAACCTCTCTGTTTCAAGTTCTGCATTAGCTAACTAAGCAATTAGGCCACAGGCCACATACCTTTTTTATTATACGTAGCTATTTTCAATTTAAAGCAAAACTTCTAGGGTAAAAAAAGTTCACACTTTCATAAGAAGTCCTGATGATATCTTAGAATACTGTTAGAATCTAAAGCAATTATCAAGGGTTCTCAAAAACACTTCTCTGAAAATTAGAGGTTAAGCTAAGCAGAGTTACTACAGCTAAATTTGAAATTACCTTTTCTAGTTGAAATGAACTTACTGAAGAATGTATCTCTTAGTCACTGTTACAGGAAATCAATATCTGATATGTTTTGTATTTCTAGAACTTGTGTTTTCTGATTTAGCACACTAAAAAATTTATAACCCAACTAAAACAATTTTCTTTTATAAATACTTATAAAGGTTATTAATCTTTAATGTATTTGTTTAATTTAACATTCAAATTTTTATATTGTTCCTGAGTTTATGGAATGTAAGTTTGTTGCATCTGTTATTAAACTGATTTTCCTGGATGAAGCAATATGCAGTTTTCTCAGTGTAATGACTTTCATAGTTGAGAAAGTGTAAGTAATATATTTAGAGTAAAAAATATTATTGTAGACCTGTTACTTGGGAAAGAAATATTAAAGCTGATTAACTGAAAAGGATGAAGCTGATAGATGCCTTTTTTTTGTTATGTGATAGAGAGGGAATAAATTAATAGGCAACAATACAAGAGCAACAGTAAAACAATGGATAAATGACCCCTTGAGAATACTAACTGAAATAATTTTTGTATTGTGGTTGAATGCATTATGTATTAGGTCTTTTCAGAAAGAAAACAGCAACCCTCTGTTGTTGATTGGGGTATAGAACCCTGATTGTGAGAGTTAGAGACCTTTATAAAACCTTTGTCTCAAGTGAAGAGACCACGGCATATCCAGAAGAAAATTAAGAACCATAGTTATTGACATAATTGATTTTGCAGAAAGAAAGGATAGACAGAAATTGAGTTTTAGAAGATCAGGGAAATTCAAGAACATCTTTTGGGAGATCCTGAATACCAGTGTGTGTTTTGGGGAGTACACAAATGTAGAAAATAATTGAAGCAAATTCACAAAGAAGAATGAAGTGGCAGCAGAGGAGGGTAAACAGAATGTCAACATGTATAGACAGAAAATTCTTTGGGAAAAATTACCCACACTTACCATATTTTTGATAGGTGAAGCATAATACAGAAGTAAACGTTTTAATACAAGGAATGTTGAGTTTATTAGTTCACACTGTTTGAACGTGTTTTCTGTGTTTCCCTTCCCCTCTGCCCTGGTTTACTCAGAGGTGTTCCTCTTGTTATCTGGTCTTAGACAAAGGCATCCAGACCTGAGTATATGAATATTCCCCACTAGCTACAGGCAACACTGATACTGGGGGTCAGTATGAATGGAGAAGGAATATTTTGTTTTGAAGTTTGGTTTAATTCTGATTTGCAATAAAACTCCAAATATCCAAAATTATCTGTGAATTTGCTTTTAGCCTCCAGGAGCTCTCGGTTTTCTCACTTTTCTCTTTGGTTTGAAGAGATTTGGCATCAAGTGCCTCTGTATTATTCCAGTTTTGAGAAATTGGTATGCTTTAATGAAAAGGGATTTGTGAAAAAGTTTTACTACTGAATCAAGGGTTTTCAGTTAGATATAAGAGGGTTTTCTTCTCTTAGTCTTCCTATCTAAACTCTTATTATGTGAGTAGCAAGGTTCTTCTACCGAAGCAGAAATTATTTTGCACTGTGACTGATGACAGTAGAAACAACATTAAGTTGAAAGAGTTGAAAGAGTAAGGCAATTGTTTCCTGCCTGTGCAGGTTAGTTTCTTTTGCAAGATCAGACTAACTGAGCATTACTATTCCTAATTAATCCATCACTTGAGTTACTTATATTGGTTATTGCTCGGGGTATGCAAAGGCTTTCATTTCACAGTGACATTTGAAAGGCTGTGGCTGAGGCATCCCATCTCCTTCCCATTTCCTCCCTTCTCAGTCTGAAAGCTTTCACAGATCATGAGAAGAGCATGTTTAATGGAAGTGATGGATGTTTTTGCCTTGTTTATGATTTAAGAATGCTTTGTAGGTAGCTTGAAGTGATGTGTGGCTTTTAAGCAATTCCTGCATTAACATATCATACTCTTGACAACTCCATCACAAGAGACAAATGTCTTATTATTGCTTCTCTTCTTCCCTTTGTACTTTTTCCTTTGCTCTTTTTCTCTTCATGCATTCTCTTTATCCAGCAGCCCATTTCCTCATTCCCTTTGATTTCCCTTCTCTGTTGCTTCTCCCTGACACATCTTTTCCCTATATCATTGTCTATCCATTTAAGATCCTATCACTATAACTCTCATATGCCTAAATCAGCTCTGTTCTGTCTGATTAACTTTATGGTTCCTTTACCTGTAACTGGTTGACAGAGCAGGGCCCAAAGGTAAGTGCTAAGTAGGAGTAAAACAGCAGCAGGAAACTTCAGGGACAGGTATCTCACCCTAGGATCATGCCCCAGACAATGAGTCAGTTTAAAGGTGAAAGCCACATGTCTTATTTACAGATTCTGAATGCTTGTGTAAAGATTGGAAGCTTTCAGTCCTCTTTTTGAAATGTTCAAAAGAGCAAACTTCTTACATTTGTTTTAGAGCACTTGCAGGTTACCAGCCCGTATGTTTTTAATGAAAATCTCAGAAATGGCCTCTCCTGATAGCAGAATTGGCCGTCTGGACTCTGCCCACTCATCAGTGAAATTGCTTTTCATGTCTACCTTGTAAATCGTACCTTTGCTAGATATCTCAGAGTGTCTAATTTTTATGCTAGTAATCTCCTAACAGCCAGTTTTCTTGCTGACTAAAACTATTACTTTTCCTTTGCTTCGGGAAAGGATGTAGGAATTATTTTTCTTACTTTAGCCAGCTAAGTGAAGACTCCCTGGCCATCAGTTAGGAAGGCCTAAAGACAGCTTTTGAGCATCTGTGGTAAGCTTGTATCACAATTTAACATCTTCTGGTTTGTGTTTGCCTCCTGAGCTCTGTTACATTTTTGCATTGGCTCTGTGTGATTTCTGTTTGGTGCTCCTCCATACTCTTATTTTGGATGAGGAATAAAGTCCAGTTGTGTGGAGTTGGGATTTTTAGAGGGAAAGACGAAGGGCAGCTGCTGAACTCTGTTCTTCTAAGATAAATATTATTTTAAAGAACAGCTGAATTATTTAACGCATAGCTCCCCATACTGAATACTAATGCAAAGCTTAGCCTTTAAAATGAAAGAGTAACAAACAGGTTTTTATAACTGAGTAACATTGCATGAGTTATTACTGTA